ATAGCAGAGTGGACCTTGGAGCAACCCCAAGGTTGTGGTGGTCTGTTTTGGCAGACCTGCCGTCGGGGCGTCGTAGTTCAATGCGTAAGCGATCCTGCGACGCCCCATTAAGACGGGGGAAGGTTTTGTTGGGTTTTAGTGGGTAGTACTGGCTGTATTACGCCGGTGAGTCCCACACGTCGTGCGTAAATGCATTTCCCAACGTTAAAAAAAAAATAGAATACTGCTAAAAACTCGGTACAATTCGTACCATATAAAAAATGATTTGTTTCTTCTTCTTACACGGCTCTTTCCGCACTTAAGCAATTATTGCTCGTTGATCTTGAGCTTGTGCTACTTGTGTATACGTGTTATTCTTTCCACCTCTGGACATTACAGTAATTTAGCAGACTGCGGGTGTCCTGGAAGATTTCTGGGAGTAAACTCCTGAGGCTAGTTTTCTTTATATTAGTAGGATGTATGCTAAAGTTTCTTCTCCTTAAAGGCACGTATTGCACAGGGGACTGTTTGTGATACCTATATTAAAAAGAATATTTATTAAGATGGCAATGTCCTGTTCTTATACCCAGCACCGTTTTTTTTTAGTTCTGCCTAGGCGTTTTAGTTTATTGTTTCTGTTAAGTTGGTATTTTCAATTATATGGGTTTTGCTTATTCTATCAGTAGGCCGTTTTAGCATTATGTAGTATCAATACACTTGATCAATATTAATAATTTTGGTGTGTTTGCCATATTGTTCCTCTTCTAAGAGGTTTCTTCTCTACTTCTCTTCTTCTCTTGTTTTATAAACAGGGTTTGTACACCTAGTAATATCTCAAAAGCAACTGATGATGTCATCTCCATGCACTCTGAGATAGCAACCCGAAAACCTAGCTGCTCTTTGAAACTTCTGAAAGTCATTCTGGATTAAAGCAATAGATGCTTTAATTATAACTCTTCATAAGCATCAATCCTAATTCTAATTCATAGAGATCGATAATAGTTAGGAAACATCATATGCGGTTTAAAATCCATTTGGTAATTAAATAAAACTTGTTTGTACTTAAAATGAATTGAATGTAGTATTTATATTTTATGTGAAAGGTAAATGCAGCAATCATTTAATTTAAAGCATCCTGGAATTCATTTGGATATGCCAATAGTACTAAATAGTAATGAAAATTAATCCTCTTACCAATTAACGATATTCGGAATTAATTACACAGGCCGCTGTGATTGAAATCGATGGTACTAGATGGTAAAATTAATAAATACCTAAATGTAAATATTAACAAATATGTTGGAATATTTACACAAGCACCATCTAGTTCCATGGCAAGCTACGAGGCTTATGTTATGGATACCAGACAGTTAACTACAGATATATAACTTTAAGTACATACATATAATAATTATAAATACCCATGTCTGGAGTATAAACACTTGTGTTCATCACACAAATGAATGCCCCCAGCGGGACTCGAACCCGCGACCGCTGGCACAGCAAGTAGGGTCAACTACAAATAGAGCCAAACGTTTTAAACATTTTAATTTAAATTTAATTAAATTTTTTAGAGAAATTATATTAAATATATTAAAACTTTTAATGAACACTTGTATATATTCAGATCTGATCTTTAAACGTTGCTAATTTAAACTTGCACGTAAAGTAGCTGATAGCTCGTGGGTATTTGACTGCTTTCAACAACGTATGTCAGCTCATCCTTTAATTGATATTGTAGCGAAGCTAATATAAGTCGCTAGTCTATACTAATACTCGTATTATAAAGAGGAAAAGTTTGTGAGTTTGTGAGATTGTGAGCTTGTGACGTTGTGGGGGCAATCTCTGGATCTACTGAACCGATTTCGATAAAATTTGGTGAGAAATTAGTTCGAGTTATATATTTCACTGTATATTGTCATGCAAGAGAGTATAATACATTACATAAAGTTTCAGCATTACATGAAGTTAAGCTTAAAAAATTAAGGTAGCAGTAGCCTAATGGTAACGCACTCTATTGCGAGTGAAGCGGGTTCAATTCAGATCTTTCGATAACTTACTAGGTTCTCTCAGACATGCATGTTTCCTTACGATGTTTTCCTTCACCGTCAGACAAGTGGTAATCATGTTGGAAATCGCATATGAATAAGAAAATATCAGAGGTGCGAGACCCGGGAATTGAACCCGCTTCACTCGATTTCCCAAGCGAGCGCGCTACCACTGGGCTACCACTGCCTATTGAATTTATTATTACTGCAATATTGATTACAATTTTATTTTTGCAGGTTTCGATGTTTAGATTGTGTAGTGACTAATATAATTAATTTGGAAAAAATCCCAACTCCCTTTTAATACTATTAGTGGTAGTTCTACTGCAATTTAAGTCACTTTCAGTACAACTGTGTAAATCTCTCGAGTCGTCTAAGGAATTCTTAATTCTGAAATTAGAAAAGATCCATGTTTTTTTTTTACATTTATAATACAATACATTTAAATTATAAAATTAAAACCTAATTCACATAAACGTCAGAAAAATATTTACTATACATATAATAAAATTGTAACTAAGCCGAATCTGTACAATAAATATTTTTTGGAAAATCTTATTGAAATAAACATTATTATCACAGATTTTATCAAAAACTATAGATTCGGCCTCTGTATGAGAGGCCTATCAGAGGCCGAATCTATAGTTTTTAATTTTTTTGTCTGTCTGTCTGTCTGTTACCGCTTCACAGAAAAACCACTAAAGGGATTTTGATGAAATTTGGTATGGTGATAGCTGGTTATCCAGATCAACATATAGCATTATTTTACTGCGGGATAATATCTCATTTCTGAAAAAACATACAAAAAAGCAATGTAAGAGTATACTAATATGTAAAACCTAAGAATTTTGCTTTTGGTCATCTGAAGCCGCGGGCAATGCTATATTATATAAGTTTATAAATAAAATAATTAAATTTTTTCACTTAATGTTCACACAAATTACTTATATGGACTTTTTAAGTCAATCCTTAAATATATTTACTAACCAGCGGCTCACCCTCGCTCCTTTCTAGTTCGCCTCCAGAAAAACAAAAACAAATCTATCCCACGGGAACCGTACATTTTTCCCGGACAAAAAGTAATCTATGTGTTATTTCAGACTATAATCTATCGTGTGCCAGATTTCATCCAGATCAGTTAAGCCATTATGGCGTGATTAACAAACATTTATCTAAACATGCAAACATCTAAACTTTCACATTTACCATAGTAAGATTTTACGATTTTAACTTTTATGTTTTTTTACTTTTATAACCTTGCAAAAAATCCAACTAAAAAAAATTAGACATCTTTTATAATGATCTATCTACGTCTATAAAATTTAAGTCAGTGAAGTTTATAATAATATATATTATGAAATTTAAGTTGTTTCAAAGTCAGTGTCCCATATTTACTCAAAACAAAATGGAGGTAGAAAACTTGCGTAATTTAATTGAAGCAATAGTATTAAGTGTACATAAAATGATATCATGTCATCATCAAGACACGTAAAAAAAGGATAATATGTGATATTCACATACTAAACGCTTTGATCAATTAAATAAAAGCATTTTGATTACATTCCTACCTGTAGACTGACATTTGTCACGTTTGAAATTTGAATACCAGCTGTATAGTTTAGGAAAAATTAACTGCCTCGATTGTCTGATGGCTAGCATTTACGAGTGCTGATCTGGATGTCCTAGATTCGAGTCACGGCTTGGGCCAAGTTTAGCTGTTGAAGTTATTCTGTTAAGAAGTTCTCAGTAACAGCCTGGAGTTGAGAATTTGGCGATGCCTCACCCTCGTGCCTCGGAAAGCATGTAAAGCCATCGGCCCTGCACCTGGTCTTTTGCCGTGTCAAATTGTCGTTCCATCGAAAGAGAGTTAAATTAAGAGAAAGTGCAATATTTTCTGCGTGTACTCTTGCACTATAATATTTAGTGTGCAGTTAGCTAGTCTCAGACAGACTGGCCGTCGTGGCCAATATTGCTCAAGAGGACGTCTTATATTATAGTCAAGTAGACAGCGGTATAAATAATATGATACAATATTATGTAGTTCATCCCTCACGATATTTTGTGAAATAATTTTGTCAATGATGTGAATATTCAACCGCTAAAAACTATATGGACTGGTCTGCTAATAATATCGTTCGTCCAATCATTGATTAAAAGCATTAGCGAGTGATTAATAAATAGAGGTTGTACCTCAAAGTGGTTTCTATTTTTTTTAAATCAACTAAAAAATAAAAAAATATTATCAAAACCAAGCATTTATTTAAATGCTCTAAAGAGAAGAAATTAAATTTTAAAATAATCTTTGAAGTATTATTAATACAAACTAAATAAATACAATTAAAATTAATATCAAACATATTTTAAATGCCAGCACTCACATTTCTGAAGCGTAGTATATTTTAGAAAATCTACAAATTAGTACACAACACGCAGTCTTCAGTACACAAGAGTTCTTTAACATTTTTTATAGAGAATTTTATTCAAACACTGGTAAAAAGTATTCATTCTCTTCATTCATTCATTGTCTTCTGAATTAGATTTAGTTACTGAAATCAAAATTTAACAACCCTTTGAAGCCATCAACAAAAGAATCCATATGATTCTTTTGTATTTAAAGTGCATTTTAGTATTCATTCGTACTAAATACTAAATTTTATTATATATATAAAATTATAACTGAGAATCTGTACATTAAATAATTTTTGGAAAATTTTATTGAAAAAATCATACAAGGGACAGCCCTAACAGTATCCTGTAATGTCAACAAATAGGTATGATTGCACTCTGGTGTATAATTAAAACAAACCTATTAACATAGTTTATAAGTATTATGATTCTCTAACAACATACATACATTCGATATAAGTTATTATTTTATTCGAGAAACGAGATAAAATGATAGAATATTACTGATCCTTTTAATTTTTTTTGCAGTTTCTTGGGGACGTCGATAAAAACTGTGTAAAGAACACAATGTCGTCAAAACGTGTGGACCCTCGTTGGCTATTCGACCACCCAATTGAGGAAGTTATAAGCGGCGATGAACATCTCCAACGGTAAGTAATTAATTATATTTAAAACTAGCATTGCCCGCGGCTTCAGATGACCAAAAATCAAATTCTTAGGTTTTACATATTAGTACTCTTACTTTGCAGTTTGTGTATTTTTTCTCAGAGATGAGATATTTTCGTGCGGTAAAAAATATCCCATATGTTGACCCGGATAACCAGCTATCACCATACCAAATATCATCAAAATCTCATTTTGACAGACGGACAGACAGACAGACAAACATCTAAAAACTATAGATTCGGCTTCTGTATCGAAAATAATGTTTATTTCAATAAGATTTTCCAAAAAATATTTAATGTACAGATTCGGCTTAGTTACATTTTTATTATATGTATAGATAAAATAAACTAATTAAATTTATATAGGAATAATTTTTACATGCACACATATATTCTAGTCGATCATAATATGTTTTATGTATACATAAAATAAAATTATAACTAAGCCTAGGAACTTAATATTAAGAGACAATATGACGACACGTTTAGCTCAGTTTGTAGTGATCCTACTTACTATGCCAGCGGTTGGGGGTTCAAATTCCGCTGGGGGCATTTATTTGTGTGATGATCACGAATGTTTGTACTCCAGTCATGGGTGTTTATATTTATAATATGTATGTATTTAAAGTTATATATCATGTATAGTGTATCAACTATCTGGTATCCATAGCATAAGCCTCATAGCTTACCATGGAACTAGATGGTGCCGATATTTATTAAAAAGAAGTTATAATTACTTATTTTTTGAAACACCTCCAGGTAAATTTCTAAGAAATTAATTAAAATTCTAAGAAATCTATTGTTAACTGACACGCTGGCGTGTCAGTGGTCGTGGAGGGTTAAGCATTAGCATAAGCAAATCTTATAATATCTATTCATGACGTAGTTATGAATAAAAGCTCATGCTTAAACAGAACAGAAAGAAAAGTTTTCATATTCAATCTAGCGTTTCGGTCGAGTTAGGAAATTAACACATATTTGAATGGACAGTTTGTGAAGTGTCAAAGTATTGTACATTAGCTGACATTTCATAATTCCGTTTAAACAAACAAACTTTAATGAGACGAATATATTTTAAATGCATAAAACACTAGCAGAACCCGCTGCTTCGCTCGCGTTAAAATGCCAAAAAACTAAAAAGGTAGATAAGAGATGAATTTCGAATAATGCTACAACACGATTTACATAATTGTATTGAAGAGCATCAATACCAAATTTCAAGTAATTCTGATCATAAATACTTTTTTGGGTTGTATTATAACGTGTTTTTTCGTGAGAATGAGATAATCTTACGCGGTAAATAGCCTATGTCACTCTCCAGACCTCCAATTATCTTCAAATTAAAAATTCTCGCCAATCCGTCACTCTGTTTGGACGTGAAAGAAGGCCAAACAAACAAACAAATAAACAATCACTTTCACATTTATAATGTTACTATAGAAGTATGAATTGATCTAGATTTTTAATTAATTAGGGTTATAACTAACTAACATATGTAAATTAACACGCGATTATCAGTTTTACAATGACCTACTCAACTAGCTATTTATGATTTATACATGAACGAATTAACCACTGGCCCAGACATATAAGCGGACGTACCTTTACCGGTCTTGTCAGTAACCAGGGAATTTGAGCCTTGGTCGTTTGTTTTTTGTGTCAATCTCAAGCAGTTACTTGTCAACAAAACATCTCCCAAAAATGACTAAATGTTATATTAAATGGTGTCAAAACTATAACGGCGGATGCAGCACTATTTCTTTTCACTTGTAAATACATTATTTTATTACATTTATTGTTATTTATCACAAAATTTAATTAAATGTTAATTAAAATGTCATATTATCCAACTATGTTAAATATCAATGCTAGTAGTCGATATTTCTATGTATTGTTGACATCTGACAACCATCATAAAATGGCTGGATTATACCATTCAGAACAAATGACAAAACTGTCGAGTGAGTCCATTTGACATCGACTAGTGCTTGACAATGTCGAAAAGTATATCGATATTTGACGAAATAACTGAATGAATTGTTTTATTTGTACAGTACAATAACATAAAATACTTTTCTCACAGTATCCTACAATCAAATAAAAATATTATAAATGCAAAAATTATAATTAGTATGCGTACTTAATTTTTTATTTTATACCACATTTATATACTTTGGAATATTATTCCATTGTAATAATAATAAAGATCATTTTATTTCAACACATAAATTACACAAAATCAAACGATAATGTTTTAGCACTAAACTTCTGGGTTGGCGATTTGTAATAGAACACTTTACCACTTGCACTAATTATTTTACTTTCACGATTCAACACTCACTTTTTCACAATTTGCAATCACTTTTTCCTAATTTCATAAATGTTCATTAAGAATTGAGCAATATTAGGACAGTGTCACATTTTTATAACTACCCGAGACAATAAATTGCCAATTAAAATAGTTCAATAAGAGAATCAACAAAATCACTTTATTTAATTAAATTAGCTTAATATTTTTTTTAATCTCTACATAATAACATTTATTATATATTAATGGAATATACACCCGATATTCATTTGTTCATTAACATTATTATAGGCCAACAGAATGTTGCCATCAATGCCATCGTATTTATATAAAACAAATTAAAAAATTATTAATATTTGACACATTATTATTGCCTCTTTAATTCATTTATTTTAATTTATTATAATAAATACAGATAATTTAAATTAAAAGATGTAAAATATGTTGACTATGCTAACCAATGTCTAAAATGTCATTCATTGGTTCATCGATATATGTAATTTATTGATTACGTTCAAGCACTAGAAATATTGTATTGTGTATCAGTGTTTATAATAATGTAATAAAATCTTTATAGAAAAAAAATGCTAAAAACGGAGTCAGGGGGGTGTAAGAAGAGAAATAGAACAAATCCAGATTTTTGTTTCTCTGTCTGTCTGTTTGTACGGGCTAATCTTCGAAAGTGTTGGACCAATTTAAATGAAATTTTGCATATTGATACTTTATATCCCCAGTCAACATTTTAGATACTTCTCAATCCGGGAAATTAAAGAGTTCCTGTGGAATAATAAAAAACTATAGTAACTTATACAGCTTAATACACAATAACTACTGATTGGATTTTAATGAAACTTTACAATATATAACTTATATATTAGAATAACAAAAAGGCTACTTTTCATCCCGGAAAAATGTACGGTTTTGTTGGATAGATTTGTCTTTATAATCGAAATCGTTTTTTTTTTTCATGTTCTTTCATATTTGACTAGATGGCCGAACTTCTTTCTGCCGTAGAGCAATCTATTCTTCAACAATAATAATTCTTTATTAACTCGTCCTCCTCTCGTTTTGAGCTGAAAATATAGATTTTATTAATAGCTTAAGTGCAGCGTTACCTACTCATACTCAGAAATAAATTATTAAATTTAAAAAAACACCGACATTTAATTCGCCATTTTGTGATGGCGGCCATCTTGGATTTGAAATTTGTCAAAGTGTATAGTATTTTAATAGTCAAGCTCTCTCATTTGATACCCATATGGAGGGAGTTCTGAAAAAATATGTAATCCGCCATTTTGTGGCGGCGGCCATCTTGGACCAATTGTTATCAAACATAGCTAAGAACACTCCCGACTAGTTCGCCTTTCAAAAACAAAACAAAATCTAAATCGGTTTATCCGTTCGGGAGCTACGATGCTACACACAGACACGGCAAACATAAATACCCTATCGTTTTTGCGTCGGTGGTTAAAAATTATTGCTTTGAACTATCGTCTCATCTAAGCAAAAATGTATTATTCTCACACTAACTGTTCGAGACGCTTTAAACTTAGTTATAACTTTTTATATATTTATACCTAAATCTCTTCTTGAGGGATAAATACTCTCACAAGCTTATTCGCGTTCACAGAATTCTAAATTGTTTAGTTTTTCGCTAAACCCGTTTGTGTAGACAGCATAGTAAAATCCATAATCCACTTTATAACTATTTTTTAGTATAATTGTATGATTTGTGACTATGTTTATTTTGTTACAGTGTTATCAACAGGCCAATATATACTATTACATCGAACGATCTTGCTGGACCATCAGGAGTAAGGCGCATTGATCCAGTCGCAAGAGTGCATAACATTAATGCAACTGAGAAAAAAAAATCGAATAAAAAATCTACTGACAAAAAAGTTTCTGAAAAAAAAGCTATAGACAAAATAGTTTCGGAAAAGAAAACTGGCGATAAGAAAAATGACAAAAAGATGGATAAAAAAGTAACTGACAAACGAGATTCCGACAAAAAGCTAAAGGAGAAAAAAAAGGCTGAGAAACGGGAAGCCGAAAGAAAAGCTCTTGAAAAAGAACAAGCGGAGAAGAAAAGAAAAATAAGGAGTCATCTTCGAATGGCTCAAAAATTAGAAGAAGGAATTCAAGCATATGAAGAGGTCAGTGCTATTGAATTAACTATTTCTTGCCATTTACGTTTGTGTTCAAACGACTTTGGTTCGGGTTCAAACGACTTTGGTTCCTTGGGACCAGATTACACCAAATTCTTAAGTTTTACATATTACCGTGATGCGATCATAGAGATACAGTCAGACAGACAGACTAAAATACGAAATAACTACTAAAATAAACTGTAGATTTGGTTTCTGTACCGATAGTAGATTTCAATAAAATTTTCCAAAAAATATTTAATGTACAGTCTACGCTCAGTTAGAATTTTATTATGTGTATAAATAGCTTAAGTGTTATATCATAAATATCAATCAGCCATGCTTTAACTGTTTGGAATATATATTTTTTAACTTCATAGCATTTTAGTTGACCTTAAAAGCAGAATCCAAATTGCCTGTAAAAATGAATACCTAAAACAGCTTGTACTAGAATTATGTAGATTATTTTAAATATAACATACATTTGAAATAAAATAAGCTAAATTAATTAGAATGAAATCACTTTTTTAATGAGATCCTTATTCATCATTTATTTTAATATATTGTATTTGTAATATATTAACCTCCATGTGTATTTTGTTAATTAATTTTCAATTTTTTTCTTGTATGGTCAAAAGAAATATTACCGACAATTTACTATCAAATTATAAGAATGTTCAAGAATTTTAAAAACTTCAAAATTTGGCTCGTAATAGTATCGAATACACTACATTATATACGTACAGTTTATATGAATATTATACACACGTACATACACACATACACACATTCATATATTCATACATACACAAAAACATACAAACAATTTATCACGCGCATACACACGTACAAACATACGTAACATAAAACTGTATGCTACACCTAGCTTTACGGGATAGTCAGGCAAAAAAATACCAAGCGCTACGAACTCAGCCTGTTTCTCTACTTCTACTTTTAAGTTCATATTGTCATCCTCTTTAACCGACTTCCAAAAAGGAGGAAGATCTCAATTCGTCGGAATCTTTTTTTCCTATGTATGTTCACCGATAACTCGAAGACTCCTGAACAGATTTGAAAATATTTTTTTTATTTCAAAGGGTATACTTCCCAGGTGGTTCTCTATAATTTTTATCGAAATCGGTTGAGCGGTTTTTGAAAAATTCAACAATAAATTATTTTTTTAGATAAATTATTTAATCGAATATGATAATTAAAAACTTACTTCTTACAAATTACCTGCTTATTACGTCTACACTAAAAATGGATAAGCAAAAACTTTTAAGTTTTTATTATCTCACACGTTTTTATTACTTCACATATAATAAGTGGTAGTATTCAGCCCTTTTTACCGGCCCACTACTAGGCACTTGGAAGCTGGAGGTCCCTTCAATACAAAAGGGATCAGACCATAGTCCACCACGCTGGCCAAGTGCGAGTTGGCGGACTTCACATGTCTTTCGAAAACTTGCTAAGTTCCGTCAGACATGCAGGTATCCTAACAATTTCCTTCACCGTAAGACAAGTAGTAATCATGTTAGAAATGATTTACATATTAAAATACTGATATTTTAGGTACGAGACCCGAGCTTCGAACATTAAATTACACAAAATATTTAATTCATAACAACTTAATTTAAACGTAGTATTATTCTACGATTGTTCCTTATCATCAAAGCTCATAACTCTTATTGCACTAAGCTTTCTAACGTCGTATTAAAAAGAGCTTTTCATCAGCTGATAGTATAGATAGAATATTATTTTTAATCTTCAACAGATTAATTACTTTTAAACTTCAAAGGCACATTTTACGATTTAGAAAACACTTTTAAAACTTTTAAGCAACACACACGCACGCACGCACGCACGCACGCACGCACGCACACACGCACACACACACGTTTTGGAATACCTCTTCTAAACTAGTTTTACTTTAATAAGCTACGATTAGAATGTGCTTTTGATAAATAGACTTCGGGAAGCGACTTTGTTTTATACTATGTAGTGATTTGGAAAATTATTTTTTTGTTTGAAAGTGTTTACTTACACTTTTTTCTCGTTTAAATTTGAAAAAGAAAAGCCACCCCAGGAAAATAGGTAATGAAAATTTAACCCTACTTCTAATTGTCTTATTTACTTGAAACTTTGCAAGTGTTTGTATTTCCGTTGTCGATATAATATTGCAGTGATTTTGTCAAACTAACTTAAAAGACTTAAGCGAATATTTTATTCAAAACATATTATTCTTACTTTGCTACTACTACGTCTACACTAAATAATATCTTAAAAAATAAATAAAAGCCGACTTCAAAACACTAAAAAGTAAAAAACACCGAATGGGGGTTTTCATTTACTATAAATGCCTAATAAAATATTTTCCTATTGTATATTTATGTATAGTTGTATACCAGCCCTTTTTTAACATCCCACTGCTGGGGCTGGGCCTTCCTTCGATGCGAGGGGGGGATCAGGCCATAGTCCACGCTGGCCAAGTGCGGGTTGGGCCAGCCGACAATGCTTTAAGATATGAATGTCTATTAGGTAATCATGACAAGGTATGAATTTAATTATTCTCGTAGTTTAAAATATTATATATTAATTCGACATGCTTTATATTGATTTGTATCAGCTGGCAACAACTACGAAAATATCTAATATAGTAAATGAAAACTTCCCATTCAGTTATTTTTTACTTTTTAGTGTTTTGAAGTCGGTTTTTTTCAATTTAACTTTCAATAAAAACTTAATAGTTTTTATTGAAAGTTAAGTTAAACGAAAGACTACTACTTACAAACGTCTATTTATATCATACACTAGCATTGCCCGCGGCTCCGCCCGCGTTCAGGTGACCAAAATCCAAATTCTTAGGTTTTACATATTACTATACTCTTACATTGCAATTTTTGTATTTTTTCTCAGAAATGAGACATTTTCCCGAAGTGAAAAGTATCCTATATGTTGATCCGGATAACCAGTATCAAAATCCCTTCAGTGCTTTTTCCGTGATGCGGTAACAGACAGACAGACAGACACACAGACAGATAAAAATTCAAAAAACTATAGATTCGGCCTCTGCATCGATAATAATGTCTATTACAATAAGATTTTCCAAAAAATATTTAATGTACAGATTCGGCTCAGTTAGAATTTTATTATATGTATAGATTATATTGACGTATAACATTATGCGAAAACAAACATTGAATAAACCTATTTTATAAGAGATATAGACTTAAAGCTCTATACAGCTGTGTTATTGCTTGTGCTAACCACAGCTTAATCGAAATATTTGCGTCCGACACCGCTCTATTGTCTTGCATCGACATGTTCTTTACCGAGAAGCTTTTCCATGAACTTTGTCTCAGTAATGGAGTTGAATTTAATATTCAAGCCTTGTTAACTACTACTTGTGTTAAGTTTTCAGTGATGAATGCAAAGAGTCTTTGAAATATATTTTGAATATCTTCATTTTCTTTCGAGGACTTCGATTATTTCCGTAGTAAAAAGTATCCTATGTATTGACTCGGATAACCAGCTACCATCATACCAAATTTCATCAAAATCTATCCAGCGGTTTTCCCGTGATGCGGTAACAGACAGACAGACGGATGGACGGACGGACGGACAGACAGACAGACAGGCAGACAGACAAAAATTCTAAAAACTATAGATTCGGCCTCTGTATCGATAAAAAAGTCTATTTAAATAAGATTTTGTAAAAAATATTCAATGTACAGATTCGGCTTAGTTACAATTTTATTTTATGTACAGATTAAAATCGATTTAGTAGGTTCAAATTTCATCGATTACAAATAAATATAAATCTTTTTTTCCTTAAAACAAGTAGGGGAAATTGAACAATTGTCATAAAATTACCATGTATAATGAAACGGTACCTCCTAGACTAACACGATGCTTAGAGACATCGACTTTTTCCAGGGCAAATATTTACATACTTTGTTGGCAAGATCGAGGGACAGCGGGGTTATTGGACTCAACTATGACAAATTGATATTTGATGAGTATGCATAAAACTAACAAATGAACGTAATAATTAGTTAAAACTCACTATCTTACCATTTATTTTAGTTAAACATAAAGCCTTATTTATTGAGACGCTTATATAAAGTTTATTTTAAATACCAAAATAATTTCACTGCAAATTGTAATATTCAATCGCTATAATTTTTAACCCCCGACGCAAAAACGACGGGTTATTATAAGTTTGACGTGTCTGTGAGTGTCTGTTTGTGGCATCGTAGCTCCCGAACGGATGAACCGATTTTGATTATGTTTTTTTTGTTTGTAAGGTAAATTAGTCAGGAGTGTTATTAGTTATGTTTGATAACAACCGGTCCAAGACGGTTTTTTATATTTTTGATTTATCACTTTTTGATGTTACACATGCGATAATTTACATATTAATCTGATTTAACTATCAGGTGGTAGAAACTCAGCAGTGTGCGGGGCACTTAATCTACGAACAGTATCTATGATGATATAATGATATGACCTTCATTTTATTAGAAAGCGGTAGTATAATGAGATAGTGCTGTTCTTTTACTACGAGTATGTACAATATATAGCTTAACTAGGGCTTTCCCGCGTCTTTCATTTATTTATTACCACATATATCTATAAAGATATAGAAATAATAAAAAGAAATACGGCCTATAGTGATATTCTGATGTACAACCTACATTCCTTTAAAATTTCATCAAAATCCGTTCCATCAAAATTCGTATAACACAAGTCGAGCACAATGTATACATAATGCATACTATATTATATTATATATAAAAATATGTTTTTTTTTTGTATCAATAGCACGCGTTAGAGCGAAGCTAAAAAAGCAAAAATACCCTAAACCTAAGCGAAACTAAAAGAGCGAAGCGAAAATATATAAATAAATAACAATTGTGGCTTTCATGATATCCAAATATATTTTTTTTTATAATTTTGATTACATCTATAAAATAAAACTCTAACTTAATTCTAACCATCGAAACAAA